TTCTGTCCTTCTGACAAGATTCTTATTCTTGTGTGTCTAGACTCTTGTTCAGTTCTTTCTTTATATTATTTTCATTTGTGTTGATCAAACCAAAATTGAGCTGAATTCTCTAGTCAATTCTTCACCGAATCAACTAGTTGTCATCAATGAAAATTTTATGGATTTTGAAGTGTTGTTTAACTAGGTTTAAACTTTTGGAAGACAGTTTCTGAACAAGGTTGGAATGGATACTTTGAAATTCCCTATGGCTTTACTCATTTAAATCTTGTCAAATAATTTTGGGGTAATGCATCCATTTTTGAGCTAAATCCTGAGTATGATATCCTTCCCAAGGTTCCTGGTGTTTGTATAATAGTAACCTTTAAGACGATTGCTAATGTAATCAACTACTAGGAGATTGGAGAAATCCCAGGTACTTTTGTTTGGGAATACTATCTTCCTACTTGGCATACTTTTCAAACCTTTCTCAAGTCTCAAATCTTTGTCCTGATGCAAGTGTTTGGAATCATATTCTGAACTCAAACTTGCTATCTAAGGACAAAGATCTAGACCTTGTAGATTCCACTGAAAAATATTTTCTACTTCTTCTCAATTCAGGCACACAAATTGATCTACTTCAAGTTATGTTTGACCGTCTAAAAAGGACTCTTTCATCATTTCACAAGGGAAATACATTCTTCATTCCTTATTGAGGAGTTCTTTCTGAATTATTGATCTAACAAGGAGTTGTCATAACATCAGAGGATGATTCTTCTAAAATTTGGAGAGATAAGCTTGAAGATATCTATGAGAGATTCTAAGTTGAACATTTGCAATATATGTCTTGTAATTGTTATTATCTTATATTATGCAATCTTTTGTGTTAATAAAAATTGTTTATGTTCTTGTATGGTTTTAACTATTATATGTGCATTTCTTATGTTGTTTAGAGAATCAAAATTAGGAATAAAACTCAAGAAACTAGCAACATTTTCATTAAAAGGATTGGTAGTTGTTACATCTCTATTAAGAACTTTCTATACATTTGGATATGTTTTAAGATATTCCCTAGGCTCATCTGACATATCTAGATTGTTTAAATAATCCTCCCAATATTCCTTTGCAAACTCAACAACCTCCTTCTTCTGGAGATTTCTGCGTTTTGACCTAGAAGTTCTTTTCCTTCTATGTGTCTCAATAAAGGTTGTTGTTGATGCATGTGCCTCTGAAGAAACCTATTTATTTGAAGACTCTTAAATTGCTACATTCTTCTCTTTTGCTTGAGTTATTGCTCTTAGCAATGTTTCCCTTCTAAAACCTCTCTTTGGAACCCAAATTGTTTCTGCTTATACATTTTTTGTGTTCTAAAAGATTAAGTGATTTGGAAAGATAGCTTGTTAAAATTTTTATAGAGTTTAATCATTGTTTACCTTGAGTCCTTACTGTTTCTATGTTGAATAGTCAAATCAATCATTTAACTTGTGACTCTTAGAAAGTGATGTCTAATATCTAGCCCTAATAAAGTTTCTCTTGAACAAGTGTGGTTTTCATTGAACAACAACTTGTTGTCTGTTTACTTTTTTTTCTTTTTTTCTTTTTTTCTTCGTTTATGCAATTGTCAGAAAATACAAAAGGCGATAAAATAAAAGATTGTACTCGTGGAAATTAATAATGGACAAAATAACTTTCATTAATAAAAAAGGGAGATTACAAAAAAGATGAAGATATTAAGATTATATTAATCTAATTCTTTTAAAGCTCTAAGACTCGTGTGATTTTCCCAAGTAAAGTCCGACTCATCCTCATCCTCAGAATTTGAAATCACAATATAAGACATCATTTTGTCTCAGTTCTTCTTCTTCTTCATTGACTTCTTCTTAGGCTTCAAAGCAGTCGTCGGTGAACTTGATTTAGAAGGTTTTAATGCAGTTGTTAAAGAGCTTGCTTCAAAAGCTACAAAAACATTTGGACTCTGCTGACCTTAAGTTTTCTGACTTGTAATGTCTTTTGAAATTTCTGTGAGTGTAGAGGTGATGGTTCTTTCAGTTGTGGATTCCATAGTATTTGTAAAGATATTGATGAAAAAGACTTAGGCCTTGGTTGCTTTTATAGTGGAGATTGGGTAGCCCAAACGTTTGTATTAAAACATTTTTCTTGATCTTTGGAAGTTCTGTGACCAATAATTATTAAGAATGCACTGTACACACTCTTAACGCTCTCTATTACTTGAATCATTTTTCTTCTCTTGGAACTGCTCAAGTAATGATGATCTGTTTTGCATTTATGAAATATTTCATTTTAAAATTTTATTTTAATCTTTTTGATGTGACAAAAGGGGGGAAAATATATAGAAGTATTTAAAGAAATCTAAACCCTTCAGATTTTATATGTTGTTGGTTATTTATTGCTTATTTTAAATTTCTTTTATTTCAGATATTTGTTTTCCCGAGTGATATATTTTAGTTTTCTTGAATATAGAACTTATGGAGAGCTTACAAACCATAACCTTTGAACTATTAGACTCATTGGGAGCTTACAAACCTCAGACTCTAATATTGTCATGTACATTAAAATTGCTCAACATTGTTCTTAAATACTTATGTTTGTCATCATCAAAAAAAGGGAGATTGTTAGAACAAGATTTGTTCATGGCATATATCCTTTAAGGTTTTGATGATAACATAGTATTTAAAGAACAATTGTGTTATCTAATGTGTGTTCTAAGTATGCAGGTTCCAAAACTTAAGGAGAATCTATTCAGAATCTGATAAGTGAACACATTTGAGAGAAGTTGAGTTCTTGACTTTTGATGGTTCAGAACTGAATGATGTTATTAAGTGAAATTTGATGATATAGGTTTGCATAGACTATGAAGCTAAATGTATCAGCATCAGAAGAGAAATATATCATTTCTCCACTTATTAAATGTATCAGCTTTTGGTGATCATTTAGAACCATAAGCAAAGCTAAGTGATTCGTACGACATAAAGTAATCTATAATGTCAAATCAGTTTGTCAGCTAGAGTTTGTGTTCACATGGCTCAAGAAGACTTGACATGCTTTACAAATATTCACTCTCAACAGATCTATAGTACAAGTTTACAAGAAAGACGCTATGGTTAAACGAGTTACACAATGGATAAAGATCTATATGTGTATCTATCTTCAACGTCTCTTAGTAATATGGAGCAATAAAGACACTTGTACAAGTTATCTCTTCCAACGGATATTCTTTTGAAACTGTTATATAAGTAGCTAAAGATTCAATTTGGATTAACAACAAGAAAAAATGAAATAGGGTTAAGAAGAAAGGAGTGTCTCACGCTTCTATCAACATGAAAGAATAACAAGATCAACAACAATATTGAATATGCAAAGTTTATGTTATTTGTTGTAATTTGTACAAAACCTTAATATTTCTTAAACATTCTAGATCTTAGAAATCTTAAGAGCTATGATCTTTGTTATGGTTATTACCATGTACCTCTGATTGTATATCACATATACCTTATTGTCTATTCTGCTAAACATATTATTTAGTAGCTTAGAAAGAATGTCTCTTGCTATGTTCCTGAGCATCAAAGTCTCTTGTTGTTAGCTTGAGCCAAGTAAGTCTCTTGCTATGTGCTTGAGCATTTATGTTTTGATTAATTTTTTGATTAAGCAGGAAAGTCTTGGATTCGTGGAATCTGAGCAGGGAAGTCTTGTACTCGAGAGTATGAGCTAGAGATGACAACGGACAGGATTTGAATAGTATACTATAGTACTCGTTCCCATACCCATCGTTTGAAAAATCTCTGTACCCAAACCCATACCCGCTTAAGTATCAACGTTGACACCTGTCCCTGTACCCTACGGATATATAAGTGCCCGTACCCGTATTTCTAATAAAAATAAGTATAACAGGTATAAATTATCATAATATTTAAGTTTTTAAAAATATTAAAAAGTAGGAAAGCCTTGTACTTGCGGGTAAAAGCAGGAAAGTCTTAAGACCCGAGGATCTAAGTAGGAAGTCTTGATCAAGTGCTGATTGAGCAGATAAGCCTTAGGCTGTAGGTTTGAGCCGGAAAGTCTTGTGTTTGAGGGCATAAGCAATTGTAATCATGTTTTTATTATAGTGAAAAATCTCTTGTGCTACAAGGGGATTGAACTACTCTCAATTTGGGAGGAACCGTGATAATTTTGTGTGTTCATTTATCATTTACTTGCTTCTAGTATTATCCGCTCCAACTCGCTAATCACGTTCTGAACTATTGTTTAGAATTTAAACTCTGTTCGTAAGCAATACAAAATTTGAGAACACAATTTAACACCCCCTTCTTGTGTATTTTTCTCACCTTCATATTTAACCGAGTTATTCGGTTTAATCCAACTTGGTCATGTGGTTCGACCAATGACCTAGTGATTTCACCAATGGACCAGTGACTTAGTATCCTTACTTGTTTGATAATGTGTTTGATTTTTAGAACATTATAATAAAATTAATTTATAGAAAATTAAAAAATTGAGATTTGTTTTAAAATATAATAAACTATTTTTTATGAAGAATAATAATTTTTTTAAAAAAATTGAGAATCTTGACGTTTATTAAAGATATAGTAAAAAGAAAATTTTAGTAAGAATTATGTGAGTTACTAAGTGCTAAAAGAGAGTGTAATTGTTGGTGTAACAACTTATTGGTGTAATTTGCCTTAAAACGTGCTATTTATAGGAGCACAATTATTTGTAGCTTTAGGAATTTATATTGAATAGTTGATATCCATAATCCATGCAATAATCAATTTATAAATACAAATACGTAATTCATATGCGAGAGAATGAAATTATTTTTCAGAAGAATGACGCATTCTTTTTTTCTTTTATATTGTATATGTTCTTTTGAGAAAATAAGATGCTGTCAATAAGTAAAGGATCTGAATACATAGAAGCTCCTAAGTTTTGGGCATATGAGCTAATTTGGAGTAGACATTTTGTTAATACTAATACTAGGAGACTAATGTACGTTAACACCCAAGAGTTTATGCAGCTGGAGCATAGTCATAACCACCATCATCGTCGTCATCACCTTCTTTGTATGCATTTAGTTCGGAATCGGAATCTCCATTCCCATTGTGATATTCTACTTCAATGCAAGCTTTAGATGTATAACAAAACCATTCATCTTTACTGTATGCATACTTCATGCTCCTTGGGGTGATGGCCATAGAAACGGATTCCATTTTGGCTGAAAATGAAGAAAAGTGAGTGTTTTGAAATGTATGTTGAAAAAAAGATGATAAACTTAAATTAGTTATGAGACTGTAATTAAGGTTGTAGTAGTGTGAGTTGTGTGTGAAATATGTTTGGAGAGTTGGTGTGTTTATATAACTAGAAGAGAATTTGTTGGAGTTGTTTTCCCACAAGCAAAACAACAGAGGGAGTGTGGATTTGGGATAAACGTGTGAGCAACGCATGGTGGCTGCATGTTGGAACCAGTCTTGCGCGGCCACATTGCCAATTCTCTTTACAAATCAGCATGAAAGTTTGAAAAACAACAAGGAATCAAGAATGACAAGATAGAATGTTTGAGTGAATGCATAGTGGTTGAGACATATAAAGTGGGACGCCAAGTTGTTCCATTCATTTTGTTAGTCAATGCTCTTTATGTTGTCATTTCTTCTGTTATTCCAATCTAGAAACCAATGACGCGGCAACTAGAAACATAGGGGTAGATCAAACGCAAGTATTTGGCGTTAGTCATTGATAATTATTTTCTCTAATTTTAGCCTAGTAACAATTATATATATTTGTAATTCCTATTTAACATGTATAAATTAGGAATTAGGTGATATTAGTCATTAACAGTTGTAATGATGATTGTATTATATATACAAGTGAACACAATGAAAAAAAGACTAAGAAGTAAGAATTTATTGATAGGGTATAACATGTTTTTTGTTTGTAACAATCTTGGTTTTTTGTGTTTCTGGTTTATATTCTGTTTCAACTCTTTTTTGGGTTTGTGTTTTTTTTTCTTGTCTTGTCTGTTTTCGTTCGGCTTTGTTTTGCCATCTCGGTTTGGTTCTTGCTATTCCTGGGTTCTATATTTTTGTGTGTGTGTTTTGATGTGGCATTTCTCATGTTGATCGAAAAAGAAAGAGATTTTATGTGTTCGTTTTTCCGAAAAAAATTATGCAGCATGAGAGTTTCAATTCAAGATGTTTGTGAAAGGTAAAGGCTTGTAGGGCCATATGGCTGACACCTCCTCTGCACCCAATGACGATGCTACTTTAGAATCATGAAAAACAAAGGACGCTCAAATCATAACTTCGATTTTAGCTTTGATTGACCCTTAAATGATTAATAATAGGTGTTCCTTTTCTATTGCTAAGAAAATGTAAGCCTATCTAAAGTGCATTTACAATCAAGATAATGTCACTAAAAGGTTTCAGTTGGAGCTCGACATTGCAATTTACCATCAAGGAAATCTTTCAATCCAAGCCTATTATTTATGATCTCTTATTATGTGGGTTGAACATTAGGCTATTTTACATGTCGATGTTTCTGCTGACTCGCTCGCTACTATTCATAAAATTTACAAGGTTAACAAGCGAGATTAATTTCTTATGAAACTTCAACATGTATTTGAAAGAGTCACTACTAAAAAATACATATTCAATGACATTATATTACCACGGTTATTCCATCAACCGTTGTAATATATGAAACGGGATGCACCTTAATTTTTTAAAAATCATTTTATCACGGTTGATAGAAACAACCGTGGTGATAGAGTGAATGGTACATGTTTCGAATCCTGACATATACATTTTTTTCTATTACAAAAAGCGTGTGTCACTTAAATTCATAAATAAATAAATAATTGAAGATTATTTAATCAAAAATTTACTAATTAACGGTTTTAATATTATTTGTACAACCTTTGCACTTCCCTAAAGAGAGAAACACTCTTCTCAACTATAATGATGATTGAAAATTTTCTTCAGTTTTCAAGACAGTCATAATGTCATTCAAAAATATCAATCATTGGAAGTAATCATTCCAAGAATTAAATCATTAGATCTTTCATCTTCAACCTCTTTTATAAAGGCACAATTTCATATAACGAATTTCCACTTCTTCAAAACCATTCTTCTTAAATACATATAGCAACATGAGTTCTCCATCTGAAAATGCTAACATAAATAACTCAACTGAAGTCACCACAGTACAACACCATGATTAGCAGTCAACTGAGGAGGTCGATCCATCTGGATCGACTGCTGTCAGGGATATACTTAGGGTTAGGAAGGCCAAGAAGAAGAAAAAGAAGAAGCTGAAGAAGAAAAAGAAAAAGGTGCCTAGGAAGAGTTGTTAGTATGATTCTGACGAGGGTAGTGAGGAGAGAGTCAAATTATGAAGATTCCTTTGCTGCTAGGGATTATTGTTCCGACATTGACAATATGCTTTGTGTAGCTATGAAGAAAAAAACAAGAAGTATGGAGTTATTATGTTAAATTCATTCACCTTGTACTTCTTCTTCACAGCTTCATAAACTAGATGAAAATCATAATTTGTTTCAGGTCCACGATTAGTTAAAAAAAGTGTGTTCTTTAAACATTTCATAATATCTTATGTTATTGTGTATGATGTTTTATGCTATTGTTGTCCGTGAACCTTATTTTGTTGTATGTTGTTGTTGTTATTGTATGTTGTTATTGTTGTCCTTGAACCTTATTTTGTTGTATGTTGTTGTGTTGTTGATAAATGTTGTTGTATGTTATTGTTTTTGTTGATTAATGTTTTAAGAATTTAAAGAACAAAACATTTCTAAGTTACAAGAAAGAAGCTTCTTGTGACTTAGCAATGTTTTGTTCTTTATAAAATTCTCAAAACATTACATAATATCTTGTGTTGTTGTATGTTGTTGTATGAAGTTGAGTTTATTATATACTATGTAGATTATTTGTTTCACTAAGCTTTCACTGAAAATACATTTCATTTATATTAGCATAGAAACTTATAATCTAAAAATTAAGTTGTATTTGAAAACCAACTCATACCAATCAATATTTTTCAAATTGCATTCGTCACATCGTTCATCTCTCGCTCTTTAACATATAGAATGTGGTTCAATGACCTGATTCCTTCAACACATTCATATCTTCTCTTATAGTTTAATTTGAATAACAACAATTTATTGATATTATTCAAATTAAACTATAATAGAAGGAATTGGTGTGATGAAGGACTTAGACCATTGAACTACATTCTATATGTTAAACAGCGTGAGATGAACGATGAGACAGATGCAATTCGGAAAATAGTGGTTTGTGTAAGTTGATTTTCAAGAATAGTTTAATTTTCATATTATATATTCTTCATCAATTTGAATGGATGTATGTTGTTGTGAGGTTTATTAAAAAACAAGCAATCTACATATTATATAATAAACCCTAGGTACTTTCAACAACCGTTATATATAATAAATGTTATAAAATGTTATTTGCCTAAAGATATATACTACCACGGTTAGTTAAAGAAACCGTGATCATATATAACCCGCCTTCAGTTTTTCTACAACAGTCGTAAGAACATGATTGTAAGTTGGGCATATACAACCACGCCCTACGTAACAACGACACGTCACACGTGATGTTATCCATTTTCCAACCATTGTTGTATATGTAGTAGTGAGTGTGTGCATCTTTGATGAATCGAAGTCCACTTCCTACTTTAGATGTGTGTCTTAGCAAACTTCTTCGCATGGAGCAGCCTTTATTTCACATGACAACATCATTGTTGATGTTGTATCTGTTGCCTATTATGTACATAATTGCAATAATAAATTTTATAACTATTGCAAGAAACACTGTCACATCATGAAAAAGTGTCAGACTAAACCTGAGAAAAAATCAATGCAAACATTTCATGTTGAGTGGCTCAATCTTCTTCTCCTACAACTTCCACTACTCTGTTTTGACTGCACAAGATGTCCAATAATTGGTATTGTTTACTCTTTCTGCCTTGGACATTCAAGCTAAGACTAATGTTGTTTCTCATTCTCCAAATGTTGTTGCTCAACCTTGGTTTGTTGATTCTTAAGCTTATAATCGTACGATTGGTTCCTTTGAAAAAATTGAATGATCGTTACACTTACAATGGCATGCAAAGCATTAATATTTTCGAAGGAAATACTCTATTTATTTCTATTGTTGAAGATATTAATTCCTCATTCTAAGATGTGTTTGTTTCTCCTGGACTTGTTTCAAACCAAATTTTGGCTGGGAAATTGGTTGATGATAATTGCAATGTTAATTTTTCTTGTGATGGTTGTCATGTGTAGCATCAGGCTCCAAGGAAAGTGACCACAGGGGGCCTAAAGTGGGCAGATTATTTCTTATCCAATTTTTCATACCTAAAATTTAAACTTTTTTTGTACTAATGGACCAAATAAGTTTGACGATTGGCATAGAAATTTTGGTCATCCAAATTTTACTGTTTTGGCTTATTTATTCAAAAATAAACTATTGAATAATAAAAGTTCCCTTTCTAATTCCTCTTTTGATTGTTTTATGTCCAAACTTTTCAAAAGCAAAATTCTTCCCTTTGCATCTAATTAATATGCATCTTGTTGATAGATGTTTTGATCTTATTCAGAGTGACGTTTAGGGCATATGTAACGTCTCGAATTTTTAATTAATTATTTAATTGAATTATAATTTATTTAATTATTTATTAATGTGTGTTTTAGTGTGTTTATGATTTATTTGGTCATTTATGAGAGTGGGAGAAATTATTATTTAGAGCTAATCATTTAAAATCATAGAGAGATAAGGAACTAAGAGTTTTTGGGTGAAAAATTGAATTAATAAGAAAATTAGAGTGAAATTGTGGAATAAGAAAAAGTGAAGCGAAAAATGTATAATTATTATAATTGAAATAGAGTTAAATAAATAGAAAAAGATAGGGGAGTGGAGAGTTTGGTCTAGTACGTGAAAAGTTGGAAAATGAAGAAAGATGCAAGGAATCCTAAAGAGAGCTCTAGTAAGGAGAGGCCATAACCAAAACTTGGATTATTTGCTGGAAAATTGAGGTAGGTGGGAGAATTACTCTTATATGGGTGTCAAATGCATGAAGGGTATGGAGGGATCCTCATCCTCCTCTAGGTTTTTCTCATGTTTTTCTCCATTGTTGATGTTTTATAAGTGTTGAGTGTTGTTGTGTGAAGTCTGTGATA